TTTAAAGAAACTGCGGTACTACGAAAGGCTCACGCCTGCAACATCAGCGTTGGAAACTCCTTACGGTGGCAAATTTACATTATTAACTCAGCTAATGAAATCAAATTATCTATTGTACTGTTTTGTTTCTGTCGTTCCCGAAGGGAACGGGAGAGGAGGGTAACGGACGGGGAAGGGGAATTTGTATGTCACGCAATACCGTTTCTAGCGTTACTTACCCGCCTGTTAGTCAGTTATCTTTTACCCCTTACTGTTAGGCACGTGACTTGCTAGGGCCCTGTTAGTTTGACTTTGCTTTCTGATCGACGTATTTTCGGTGAATGTTTTGTTGAGGCTTGTAAATCAATTTGTGGATACCTATGCTTTGTATTGCGTCAGCTTGTCGGAGTATATGGTCTATATTATGCACCAGAAGTGATTTCAAGGTGGAAAAGATAGTTTGTTTTGAAAACTTACACAGAAATGGGACGATCACAGGAATCAAGGCCTTTCCTTCCAATTCGTGAAGAACTCGAGTTCGAAAGTGAAGAACAGCTCAGCATTCGAAACAGTTTTAACTCGTGTTTATTAAATCAAAGAACGAAGAGGAGAGTTGCTTTTGTATTGACTGCTGCTGCGTTCGTTGCCATTCTCTCAGGCTTACTGTACTATTATTTCTCTCGAAAAGTCAAGGAATACGAACAGATCTTATTAGAGGAAAATCAACATATGAAAGTGACGATCAAAGCTGGTGTCATACGCGGTAAATTTGAGGGTGATGCTGTCGTGTTTAAAGGAATTCCTTATGCAAAACCGCCCGTTGATAATTTACGCTGGAAAGCTCCGGTTTCGTGTGACGAGAATGTAAATAAGTGCTGGAATGGAACTCTGGATGCAAGTGAATTTGGAAGTTGGTGTGCACAGCAAGATGTGCTGCACACTCCAGACCCAACCAAAGTCATAGGCAGTGAGGACTGTCTGTTTATTAATGTATGGACACCGAAACACAGATCAACTGGAATACTTCTCCCTGTTCTAGTTTACATTCATGGTGGATTTTTGATGTACTCCTCTGGGGATTGGAATGGACTTCACCCCCAACCTGAAATGGTTTCAGAGATGAATATTGTTGGAGTGTCTTTCAATTACAGATTAAATGCATTTGGTTTTCTTGCCTTAAAGTCCTTAGCAGAGGCATCACCAAGCAAAAGTACAGGAAACTATGGCTTCATGGACCAGATATTAGCTTTAAAGTGGGTGAGGGCTAACATCCATAAATTTGGTGGTGATCCAAAATCTGTTACTCTGATTGGACAAAGCTCTGGTGGTACATCTGAACTGGCTTTGCTTGCCTCCCCTAGTGCTGCCGGGTTATTCCATCGAGCAATTGTCATGAGTGCCTCAGCTGTTTATAACAAATCATGGGAAGATGCTGCAAATGACAACAAAATTTTCATAAAAAATTGTGATTGTGTGAGAAACAGTTCAGCAGCTGAGAGAGACTGTTTATATCAGCTTACTACTGAAAAACTGGAAGCAGCCATCCCATGGGATGTATACCCATTTTGGCGCATGTCTGACTCTATGGATCTGCCACAAAAAAACCTGTTTGATGGGGCAGTTGCTGTTGTTGACAATGTTGTGGTTCCCAAGCCTCCTCTTCTTGCCATGGTAGAAGGAGAAGCAAATGATGTCCCTTTAATTATTGGGACAACAGGGCAGGAGATAAATATTAAGCCTGTGATGGATTTTTCTAATTCTACTTGGGAAGACTACAGTACTTATGTAAAGCAAAAGTTGGCTCCTTTTATTGGAAAGAATGTTAGCATGGTTCTTGCCTTGTATAACAAAAGTGAGCTTAGTAAGGAACCTCTCTCTCCTCAGTTTTCTTATTCATCCATGGCCTCTGATATACGACTTTCTTGCCCAAATGATGTGTTTGCCTCCAAAGCATCTCAAGGTTTTAAGAGCCCAGTTTATAGATATGTGGTTACAAGTGCTCCATCATCTCCAATAAATGTGTTTGGATATCCAGCAACATTTGCATTTCACATGTGGGATCTTATCACACTGTTTGGTTTCCCTCCTGCATTTCATTACACTCCATCATCCAGAGACCAGAGTTTCTTGAAGGACCTTAGAAGAGAGTTCGGTAAATTTATTAACAATGAATTTAATCAAGAAGATGCTCCATGGAAAAAGTTTCCTAAAAGTACTGCTCTGTTCACAGACAGTGGTGTAAAGGTTCTTGATAGCAATGGTTATCACATAGAAGAGTGTGCATTTTGGCTTAATAATGGGTTCTTTTCATATGGATGGATTAACTAATTACAATCTCTTAAATTTAAGTAGATTGTTTTGAACTGAGTGTAAAGAGATACTGAAAATTTTCTGCATGCCATTAATCTTTATTTCATATTTATTAATTTGACTCGTTCATTCCCCCAGCTTCTTGATTGGCTTTGTAGCCACTGTAGAACACAAAGTCTTTTTCTATGCATAGATTGCAATCTAGCTTTGGTGTTTACTTACTTTGCACCCTTTAACTCCCAGAATCCCATGAGTAATTCTCCCTTTGAGCTTCTTTACATTTCCTTGTAAACAAGACAGGAGAATTTGGTGTTACATCATGATAGCACCATCTCCCTGTTAAGTTTGTATGTTCTCATATCCTGTTTTCAAGATATCATATTGGCATTGTAAGGAGAAATTACATGTAGATAACTTCTGGGAGTGAAAGGATTAAGAAAGCTATGCAATGTATTTTGAGTGATTTCTTTGATAGAGTTACGACAAAGAAAAAAATATATATTTATTTTTTTCTTTGTTGGGCAGTGAACACTCAAGTACTTCTAAATTAGCAGAAACCATTTTTCTAAAGCAGGGGGAAGCAGGGTCATTACCTCAGATTAATGATGAGTAATCATGATTTAATGGTGAATATAAATTATTTGGATATATATTGATACTATTACCTTATTTATGTATTTTTTATTTTTTACTGTTTTGTTTTGACACCCAGAAAATGCAAGATGGAAAAGAGTGTTTTTGATGCACAGTTGAAAAATTTAAGATGAAAAAAGACATGCTGGTAATAAAAGAAAGATTTGTCCTCTGAAATGTTCCTTCCTTTCCATCAGTTTTACATATTACAATTTACACAAAACTTGGGTATTGCTTTATTTCTCAAAGGCTTCATGGAGAATTTTTTCCTCAGATTTGGAGTCTTTGATTTATGCTTTTCTCTGTTTAGATTGTGTAATGAAGGACAAGCCTAGTCTTTAAATTTGTTCTCACCATAAAGCTTTTAAACTTTTTTCAACTGAAAATACTGCAAATTGAAACAAAAATTTGCTTTTGACAAAATTGGAGAAATAAACTTTTCATTAGTTTGCGCTTTATTATTTCCCATGCTTGGCAGACTCCCTGATCTTTTCCTCTTCATTCCAATGCAAAGCACGTATTTCGCCTTTTGTTTCTGTTTGGTGTTCCCACCGGATCCAAACAAATCACGCGAAATATCTACATTAGGAAATGAAGTGCACATTTTACAGGATACAGTCATCGACATGGTCATCACTGTGACACCGGCTTCTGAGAGAAGTCTGGGAACGTATTGACGACCAATCAACTGCAACCACGACGGTGTGCGCCAACACTGAATGTGAACCGCGGTTCACTTCCTTAAAACATAGGAAACAGAAATTAAGGCAATACATATATGCCAGTCTCAAGATGTGTAGTTTTGGACAACTTTTTTCGTCGTTGAATATTATTTTAATCACTTTGGAACTGAAAATAATCGGTGAGTCCTGTGTAATTATCAGATTAAATATTATGACAGTTAACTAGGGGAGATTTCGGCCGAATCGTACTACAGAATTTGGATGACGTGCCTTATGAAATGATGTGTGTCGGATCTTGCAGGAGTTTCGAGCAAATTATCGGCAGCAGAAGTTGAACAACATTTAGAACAAGGCAAGAGATTGCTTGCCACTGGACAACTAAGTGATGCTCTCTCACACTATCATGCAGCAGTTGGTGAGTGATTTTTTATTTTGAACCGGCGTTAGTCTAATTTCCACTCTGATCTGTGATGACATTAGTTGTTAAGAGTTACAGAAAAAAATCCTTGTTTTAAATTATCGGTTTGTGTAATTCTCTGTTAAGTGTTATTTCTTTAAAATTTTTTGACAGTAGCTCAAAGTTTCCAAACTGATGCACCGCAATATCTTAGATAAGTTAAGAACTTCAGTCGATGTTATTTATTTGGGTGAACTCATGTGTTGTTACCTGCTTGAGTAGCAAAGCGTTTTGTTTTTATAACCTAGAAATGCAGTTGTTAAGTTTCTTAAAACTTATGGCATTGCTCTAGTAGTGAGAAAGGTTAATCCCAACTTCGAGTGGAGTTAGTGAAACCCAGCTGAACCAACGAATACGATAGCAGAAACATTTAATCCAAATCAAATTAACATCTCGAAATAAATCACGTAGACTCTGTTGTGTTTACCATTTCTTCATGTCACGTAGATTTGTTTGAAGCGGAAAGACTATAACGTTTTCTTTTTGTTCTATATTGCCTCTCACTTAAGAAAGTTTTTCCCTGCGTCTGTCGATTCATCTTAATATCTTTTTTTACATCATCCCGGATGCGAATTAAATTTGCGCGAACGCTATTTACAATTCGACCAATCAAAAAGTGCCAAGCTTTGTTTTTTAAATTACACTTCAAATAATTTAATTTATACAGTACCAACATAACGTTTGGAAAAATTTGAGCACCCTTTTTGCATTAGTTTCTCAATTTTGACATCACTTCTCCAAGCTATATGCTGTACAAATTGTATAATTGTAGATCTGGGAATTGGTTACTTAATAAATCGATTTCTCAATATTAAAATTTTTCTTCATCATCTATTTGGGTTAATCCTTCACACCCTAATATCAGTATGCATATTCTCCATACTGTTCATCATAAATTTCTTAAGGTGCTGAAGAGGAGAATTTGTTTAACAATCCAGAGCTTCTTTAGTTGGTGATCATTTCCTTTATTCTTGTGGCCTTATTGTGTGATTCATGGTAGATCTTGTAAGGAGAAATTAGATGTTGGTCACTCTTAGGGGGCAAAGGGTTAAATTGTATTGATATTTAAGGTGAAATTAATTTGGTGAGGGAAGAGCTTAATGTGTCTTCTTCATTATTTATTTCAGAGGGTGATCCTGACAATTTTTTGACATATTTTAAAAGAGCAACAGTATTTCTAGCAATGGGTCGTTCAAAAGCTGCCTTGCCTGATCTGGACAGGGTACTTGAACTAAGACCTGACTTTTTTCAGGTATGTTTACGGAATAACAATATAATAATAGGGAAAGATTTTTCATTAAGTAAACATTCAGTGGAAAATTGTTTAAATTTCTTGGATCTTGCAGAGTGAAATTTTTTAAGGGAGGCTGCGAGGAGAATCTTTTCTCCAAGTTTGAATTTCTTTAATGTCCCACCCAAGAGAGCCTTTTTGAATGGTTTTGTATTAAATGGATTTGTCAGAAATGTTATCATAGGACAAACCATATGAACCACAAACATGTTTACTTCAGCATTGTATCTCTATTTTGTTGCTAAATTCTTCCTTTGAAAAAAACTTCAGTTGCATATATTTTGGAAACAGGACATTTTCAATCATAAAATTTTGCAAGTAGACTACTTCAACAATAATCTTAACAGGTGAAAAAGAAGGGTGTTGTTGAGAGGCTGAGTTAGCCTTCAGGAATACCTTAACTTCACCTTTTTTTATCTTAACATGCAAGCAATTTGTCCCATTCTTAATCATACACAACCTCTATCTTTGATAGTTGATAGCCTAGCTTTAATTTTTATGTCGAAAAGCAAACTGGAAAAAAGAATGACCACAACACTCATTTCCCATTTTTTAGTACACCAGTGAAATTATTTGCAGAGACTGAAATTATTACCAGTTACCTGCAGATGTTTTCAGGTTAAAGTAAAAGTGATCAGAATCAGAGTTCATCTTACTTTTTACTGCAGACCTCAAGCTTAGCTCATTGAAAACAGTGTAAATGACAGTGGTTTCTATCTACTCTTTTCTTGAGTTGGGTAAAATATATCAGGAGCTATTAGCTATAATTTTTGTTTTAAACAGGCACGGTTACAAAGAGGGAATGTCTTACTCAAACAAGGAAGATTAGATGAAGCACACATTGATTATGAGGCAGTGGTGAGCTAAATCAGTAACTCAGACTTGCTGTTACATATAATAGCTTCAGTTTACCCTTTCATTCCCAAATGCCAATTAGTTATTATCCTTACTGTCTGCAATACAATTCACACGATGTTAGTTTGGAGAATTAGTTATTGGATCAATTAGTAATCCCCTGATTGATACTATTCTTCATTCTCATCACTTGTCTGCTTGATGTTGTATTGATATTGTGAGGAGAAATTCTATCTTAATCACTCATGGGAGCTAAAGAGTTAGGTAATTATGAATGGGTGCAGTCAGAATAACTTTTTGTTGCCTATTGGCTCCTAGAAATTAACCCTTCACACCCTAACGTCAGTATGTCTATTCTCTGCACTGTTCTCTTTACATTTCTCTTGGTACTGACAAGGAGAATTTGTTTATCAATCAGGAGTTTCTCTAGTTGGTGATCATTTCCTTTATTCTTGTGACCTACATGTTTGATTCAGGGGTGATATTGTAAGGAGAAATTAGATGCTGGTCACTCCTAGGGGATAGAGGGTGAAGATTATCACATTCTTGTTGCTTTTATAAATCACATTCAATAACTTAGTTACAGTTTTGATTAGGGAATTTACAATCCTCTATAGGATCTTTTCTTAAACAGAATTCCTGCATAAGCATTTATATCACGGGTACTTATCAGTAGATTCAGAGGAACTGGGTGTAATCATAGCCTTCAGTAAAAACCAAGAACAAAATTTAATGATCAATGACAATTAATTGATATTTACTTCTTCATATTTTTTTCAGTTACATAAAAACCCTGATAATGCTGAAGCACTGCAACAGGTAAATGGTGAACTTGAAACAAAAGCATCTGATTTTAAAAAAAAACTTTTTGGGGGAAAGGAAATTTTTCCTGGATATGTTTTGGTTTATTTTCTGTCATTTCTTTTTTCTTCTTTCATTGTCCAGTTAAATGTTATAGAACCCATTAGGAAGGATGTCTCAGAAGCAAGAAATGCAATAAATATGGGAGACTATTCACTTGCTATAGAGTTCTTAGGAAGAGCAATAGAGGTATTATTAAATATCGATAGTAATTATTATCAATAATAATGGTTATTTTATTATGGCATTTTTTGTATATTATTATTGATGTCACTATTAATTATGACTAACTAATCATTAATAACTTTGTAACAATTGTCTCTAACTAAAAATAAAAATATTGCATTGAACAAGGGCTATATCAGAGAGGCTGAAGAGTTTCATGAATGGCACTTTGTTTTATGGAGTAAATGCAAGCTAAGCCTGCAAATTATGTCCAATTTTTGGACTTCTCTCTCTAAGGTTGCCCCTTGGGATACTGAACTAAGAATAATGAGGGCTGACTGTCATGAAAACATGGGAGACTACATCAATGCAATTTCAGACATCAAGTAAGAATTTTTCAAGCTTTTCATACATTATATGTGAAGCATTTTCACAGTTGCAAATTTGAATACTAGAAAGTATCAAATTCTTCAAGTACCTGTTCTATCAGACAGTGTGATTGTTTGGACAAGGCCAAGGTTTTCCTGAAAAGGAAAGTTGTCAGAGGTGATTACTGACACTCTGAAAAATCTGAGAATATGTTACCATTCCACCTGGACATCAAGAAGTCACTTTCAGTCAGTTTTTGGACTCTGGTGATGAGTGAAATGAACTTTTGTTGGTAACAGTGACCTACATTTTGAAAACCTGAGTGCAAATCATCATCATCATCAGAAACCAAAAAATTTGGAGCCAATGT